AGATGTGCAGAAGAGTAGACTAGGTAGAGAGAGAAGGAATTATGAGCAAAAGAAAGTGAGATTTTTTCACATGTGCTTCAACAGTAACAATATTACATATTTCGTACATACTAAAAAAGTAAACAAAATTTAATCACCGATTTTATCATAATGATTAATTAATGAATTAATTTGTAATGGAGTACTTTGATTATTATTGTTATTAGCTGCTACTATTTGTAACAAATCTCCTGGATTTGTGTTTGAGTGTTTTATTTTTGTCTGGTTGGAACCAATTATCAACACTTGATTATGTATCGGGAAAACAAAAGGTACGAATCAAATTCCATTTAATCATTCTTCTTTTTCGGTATACGTGAAATCCAATTAAAATCATTTCTGATAAAAGCAACGAATAACCAAAAAAAGCTTAGAGTTTTCCAAAAATGTTACTAGTATAAACCAAAAAAAAACAAACGAATTATCCTACAGTAAAAAAAACAAAACAATTAACGATTCTGCCAACAAAAGAATGAAGATTTTAGTTTACTCAATTAGAAAAAAAAAAAGAAATGGATCAATCACCCACTTATTTAGCTTTTGGTATATTAGAAGCTGAGTTTTTGTTGAAGGGCCAAAGTTTTACAAGACGCTCGAGGACGGCGGCGCTTTTAGAAAAGTAACCGGAGAAGCCTGCCGGAATAGACGGCGGAGGGAAATCTTCGGCCGGCATAGCAAACGGACGAATCATCTTCTCCATAGTCTCGAGGGTTAAACAAGAACCAACCTCTTGAAGCCTCTCTGGTCCCATTATCGGAAGTGTATGTTCCCTGAGCAACGACTCTGCTTCCTGATCCTTCTTCTGTTTGTAACGAAAACATAACATAATCAAACAAGTTTCTTTTTTTGTCAACAAAATTAGATGAATTTAAACCGGATATTTAATTACTTGTCGGTTTAGACAAGATAACGAATAGTATTATGTACATGTGCTCGACTTGAAAACATCCATACTACCCGG